ATACACACTGAAAAGCTGGCAAGCACCTCTAAATCAACACTATATAGTCACCAAAATGCTATCAGTGCCTAGTCAGCTACCAGCAAATAAAAGGACTTTAATAACTATACGTACATTTAATAAGCACATCAGTGAAGTAACACAATGAACAAACCAGACTCCTGTCCCCCAAAAAGTTCTCTATGTATTCCCTACCTGGAGAGGCATGACTGGGAAAAGGTAAGAGGATGGAACTAAATTACAGAAATTACTGTAATTCAAATCAATAGGAAAGTAGGGTGTCCAGCAAGAAACTGGAACTTATATTTGCCTGGATGTTTAAGAGCACCAAAGTGTTAATCACTGTGCTTCGCCCATTGCGTGATTTTCTTATTTAATCTTCAGATTACCTTACAAGATATTATTTTAATTTTGATAGGTAAAGAAGTCAAAAGAGCTCAAGGCCACACAAGAGTCAGGGTACGACATGATCGCTTAAACCCACGATTTTTCTACCACAGTGGTACAAATTCAGTCCTGTGAAATTTCAGAAGGAACAGTTTTAGTCAGAAGGAAAAATTTAAGAAGATCCTATGTAAAAATAACAATGAGCCAGCACTGAAGGGTGAGGAAACAAATGAGGGTGAATTTATACGGAGCAGTAAAAACAGGTAGGGATGCATATTTGAAATTTGTTGATAGGAAACAGATCTAGCCTGGAAACAGTTACACATATGTGATGAAAATCCAACTATAAGAGGCAGTAGGGTCATAAAAGGCAACCTGACAACTCTATATTTACTATGGCCACCGCTGTCAGAAAAACAATCAACAACATAACTCATGCTGGCTAATGACTGGTCTTGTGACATCATCTTCAGCTACAAAGGGCAGCAAAAAACAAACAAATCTGGTCACATAAACATTCAAAAACCTTAGGATAATATAAACTTTATTATAGAGGTATGCCTTTATCCAACTAGAGAATAGAGTTACAGAAGTTAACATATTCAAGAGTCCCCTTTAATATCAAATTAGCATAACGTAGAAAACAATGGATGCACTTCACAAATGTGAAACATAAAATCTACTGTTTGACTACACGAGATGAGAGAAGCCCAAGTCCTTCCACATAGGAAGCAACATCATCAGAACAACAGCCAGGAACCACGATCGGTCATCAGAATCAGAACAACAATAAACTTCCCTCGAGACAAGGGAGAGGAGCCCTCTCCAGTCCTCGCCTAGTTCCAGCTCTGGGCCTATACCCTCTCTAATGACCAACAAGGTGGCTCCAAAACCCCCTTCCCCCCAGCACACACGCACACTCACACACACACACTCACACAAATAGGAATAGATAAGCAGAGAACAATAAAGAAAGATAGGTCATCAAAGACCCATACATACCCAGTTAGATAGAGCACAAAGAACAAGTACTCATCAACAAAGTTTGAGAGATTTCTCTGCAACTCCCCCCAAACTAGTCATGCACCTCAATTATTAAAATGCCATTGAACTAGTCATAGGAGGTTCTTAACAATCTACATGTAATTTCAACGTATTGATTACTCAGTACTGTGTAATTTAATTCAATAACGATATATATCGTGCTGCTGGGGCATCTAATTGAACGGGATCATGCACTTTTGGCCCTGCCTCCGGACCAGGGAGGGTCTCTCCAAGAAGCGGAGGAACTTATCTGAAGACTAAGATGCTGGACTCTATGCTTGATATATGCTTGCGGTGAAGGTGTCTCAACTGATCTTGAACTGAGGTCTCATAACAGGGTGGAGGAATCCACCAGGCGGGGAGGGATGGGGAGAATCCCAGTACCTATAAAACTGTATCTCATAATACAATGTAACCAATAAAATAAAAAAAAGAAAAAGAAAAAAAAATCTACTGTTTGAAATGTATACCATCAAAAGAAATCACTTTTATTAATCTTTTAAATTCCATAAGTCATACTCTTAAGACAACATTGTGATTTTATTTGCTTATATTATGAAATTTGATCATCTAAATGTAATAGTACAGTACTTAAATATTCATAGTTTGGTGGTGGTTTTACTTATCAAGATTGTGATTTGAAAGGCTCTTAGAACTAAGTTTGTTCAAATTCACAGGCTAAACTGAGTATAACTGATTATCTGGATGATAATATCACAAATCCATTACAGGGAATCTAAAATGAACAAAGTACAGATTTTATGTAGATCATCCAGAGATCAGGAAACTCCAACCCCCTTTGAAACTGTTACTTTTTATGTCTTATGTAAGAGGAACACATGTTTATTGTCCTCTTACAATAATTTTGTGAGCTTATATTTTATGGTAAGTCTAGCCCTAAAGCCGAACATAATACAGAAAAGAACCTCCCACATTAAGATCAGTGTAAATGCACACACAAAAGCCAGGTCTCAGGATCATCTAGGTAGTGGTTCTTGGAGGTCTCCCCAAACAGACTGCAGCATCCAATCACCAACCTCAGGGAACATCATAAAGACATATGGTCTGGCCTTGGAGCACATTTACAAGATTGGGCCATCTTCACTGCTGACTCCCGTGCAAGGATAAAGAACACAGCTATATGCTAACAGAAGACAAGACAGCCTGCTCCTCTAATCCAACAGAAGACTTCAAGTACCTCATCAAAGGGTGGAAAGAAGAGCAAGTTGAACAAAACTCCAGACCAGGTTCTACAGTAACCACCAAAGTTTGTGAACTCACTAAGGTAGACACAGACAGCCAAATAGGCCTTACACAGAACTTTTTGCTTCTAGTACAATGAAGCCAACAGTTTTTCAGAACAATCAAGACCACTCAAATGACACCCTCTGGACATTCTTCTTCCCTTCAATGTCCCTAAGGCAACAACAAATTTCATCTCCATCCTCTGGCACTGAGGTAGTCTGACATGAAGAGCAGCACAGTGCACCATCTTTCCCTTCCCCTGCATCCCCCCCCCCACCATGGACAGGAAGGAAGGAAGGCAGACGGTCTTTTCATAGATGCATGCTCTTACAAACTTTATCAGTGGGATACAAATGCACGAATTTGCTTCTGGACACTTATTCTGTGAACTTTCTTCTTACCAATATTCTCTTTTTGTTTGCTACACCTTCTTCTATGAATTTGAAGAATTTCTTTCAGGATATCTTTATAGAACAAGTCCGGTGATAATAAAATGTTCTCAGCTTTTGTTCGTCTAGGAATGTCTTTATCTCCTTCACACCTAAAGGGCAGTTTTGCTGATACAGCATTCTTGGTTGGAAGACCTTTTTCCTTTAGAACTGTAAAAAATCATACTACTCTTTTCTGGTCAATAGCAGTCATTTTTATCATCATCTCTTCAAAAAAATATTTTGTCCAATTTCTCCTCCCTTTTGAGAATCAAAAGACTGGGTTGTAAGCTGCTGTCTTGAGTTGCCATTTCTGTACTGAGAATTCCTAACCATTCCCTTCTTACATTAATTTTCCCTCTTGAATACATTAATGTCCCCTGTACTATAGGCTTTATCTCTTAATTTCATCATCTGTCAATTTTATTTTGTTGACCAATTTTCTGCTTTTTTGCTTGTGTAGTAATTTTCTTTTGAATCCTTGACATTATGAATGCTATCTTATGCAGTGTTGAGATTTTGCAATCCGCCTTAGTTGGGTGTTAGGTTTTGTCCAAGTAAGCAGTCTACTTGCCTTTGAATTACTTTAATCTTTTCAAGACATGCACCTCTGCCTTTTGAAACATTTACTTTTTATTTTTAAATCCCTTTGTATTAAAAAAAACTTCCGAAATGCTGGTTATAGTAAATATGCTTGATTCTTCAAGACTTATTTTTAATCCTTTTAAGAGTGGCCATAGAGTAAGTTTTTATTTTAGGAATAAATTAATTCATTGTTTTTTTTTCTGTTTTTCTTCTGGTTTTAAAAATATACACATTAATTCTATTTGTAAAGCACAAATTTTGTGATTTTTTTTGTATCAGTTATCAGGTGTGTTTATTGACAGGTTTTATCCAGGTAAGAGTTCGATTTGTTGTTTAGCCACAGATCTCTGGAAGTTATTCTTTCCCACTGTTGGTGAACTGTCTGGTTATGCGGTGGTACTTTGGTACTTTCATTCTATCACAGCCAGAGGTATTAATTCCTACAGAGACTTTTTGGACATGTCTCAGAATACCTTTAGTCCTTTCTTCTTTCTCCACTGACCCAATAACTCCTCTCACTCTTCCATGACTTTGTTTTTCAAGGATTCTTAATTATTTAGCATAAGGACCCAAACCAGACTAATTATAACTCCATTCAGTGTTCTTTCCTTTGCACTATATTTTATCTCATGGAACTAAAACAGTACAATCTAAGCCAACTATAAATTGTTCACCACTTGTTATATTTCTACACTTCTCTCTTTTATTTGTTGCTATTTTTGTTGCTTTTGCTTATTTCTGGTGAATTTGTTGTTTACATTTTATTTTTACAAATTTGCAACTGCTTCACTAATACAGCTACAAATGGTTTGCATTGAGGATATTTATTTGGTCAAACTACTTCTAGACCAGTTCTCTGACCATACAAAAACCAAATAACCCACAAAATGTTTAAAAGGAAGGCAAGGAGACATTAATGACATGCTCTTTGACTCATTCCTGAGTTTCTTATCTGATACCTTAGACTCACATAATGTATTGTTTCTTCTTTTAAGCTATCTTAGCTTCTTTCTAAAGAACAGGCTTAGGCTCTACATAGTTTCCTTAACATTGTTGAGGTCTGCTTCCAGAATGTAATGTTCATCATTCTTTGTCCACAAAGGATCTATTAATTCATACTTATAAAGCATTAGTCACTTTAAAAATAAATTTTGCGTGATTTTATTACCTTGTAAGGAAAAGAGAAATAAGAGCAGGAGAACAGAAATGAAACTGGTTTATAAAACGAACACGTATGAATACATTTATAATTGTGTCAAGGAAAAATATGTGATTGAATCATTTGAGAGATCTTGGGTCTGCGACTCTTACCTATGCAGCTGGATATATTCTCGAGGTCTGTTGAGCAGGTGAAGAAATCTGTCAACAATCTTATTTTTTCCTACACCCTGTAATTATACAAACATGATTTTAGAAAGACATTTTTACTTGGAGGCCACTGTATGCCAAAGCACAAGAATCTTACCAAAAACCATTTTGTCAAAGTTGTGCTGATTTACTTCGTTGTTAATGAAAACCAAACTGGCAAACATATGTAGCACAACTTCTAAGATATAAAGTTTTTTTTTTTAATTTACTTCTAAGCACACTAGTTCTAAGCTATTCTTATTTTAAAAGAAGTTTGTAAATTAACTACTAATTTTGAATTGTCTATTCCACCATAATTTTACATTAAAGTCTAAATATTACAACACGATATTAGTTCAAAGTTGGAAAAATGCCAGCAAAGGAGATTAAGTATGAAATTAATGCTTTTCTAGTAAGTTCTTCAGGAGTATGTTTTCAGTAAGAGGAGTCTGGTCACAAATGCAGGTCCACATGGCTGCAATGCTTATGTTTTTTAGCTCCTACAAGGTGGATTATACTTCTTTCAGTTTGGAACCATTTAGGTAATCTGAGATTTAAGTAATCTCTTTCCACACGTCTAGTGTCTGCAACTGTTTACAGAGGGTTGGCTGTGACCCAGAGATTCATGCACTGAAGTCTGATTAATGTGGAAGTGTGAAAGTTTCATCTAGTGAAGTGGTGTGAAACCTTTAATAAGTGGAGCCGAGTGCAAGGGTTTAATACTCATCTCCTGTGGTTAGTTTTCCCGAGAACAGATTATTTTGAAAGGAGCAAGACTGGCTCCTACATTTCTTCTATTTACTTTTCTATCATGTGATCTCCTCTTCTGAAACACGCTCTCACCATAATGTCATTTGCATGTTATGGTATAGTCAGGGGGCCCTCACCAGTATTAAGCACATATAAACATGATGGTCTGGGACCTCCAAACCTATGAGCAAAATAAATCTCAGGTATTTTGCTGTAACTATAGAAGATGAAGCAATACAGGATCTAAAATTTAAAATTATATATTTAGGTGGACAAGGATATAGTACAGTATACAAGTAGCAACAGTTGAAGCCCAACAAGGAAGCAGGAATTAAACCAACAATTTTACTGCAAGCGCAAAGATCTTTTGCAAAACAGCACTTTGCAAGCACTAAGAATAATAATTCAAATCAATCAAATGGGTATTTACCAAATGCCACAGAGGGTGAGGCCATGCCTGTTTTATTGTTATCATTATATTAGGAACCCAGAACAGTGGCCAATAGAAAGAATGCATTCTGTAAATATTTATCAAATTAATGAATGAACACAGGGAGTGGGGGCAGTGGTGGAAAGCAGTTGCAAATACCGGTGAAACAGAAACAATCACCCTGCTAACAAGGATACTGAATAATGGAATATGTGAAGAGTTATAGAATAATAAAAGCTAGATAAGTTTTCCAAATGATCTAACTCATTTCATCTACAAAAAAAAAATCAATACTATCACAGCAAAATGTCAAACCAACAAATTTACTAAAGTAAATGCAAAGGTTCATTTTGTGTTCTAGAAATCATTTCTGGAATTGGATTTCACTCAAAATACTTTCCAGCCTACTACAGAAGAAGAATTGAAAAAAAATCACACTTGCACATTTATGTGCCAATTACAACAACCGGGTAAGCTTTAAATGGTACTACTGTAATGAACATAAAATGTGGGGCCAGCATCACAGGGTCATTGCCTGCAATGCCAGCAACCTCTAGGGAGCACCAGTTCCAGTTTAGTTGCTCTAGTTCCTGTTCAGCTCCCTACCAATGTGCTTGGGAAAGTGGCAGAAGACGGCCTAAGTCCTTGGGTCCCTGCACTCATGTGGGAGATGCCAGATGAAGCTCCAGGCTCCTAGTTTTAGCTTGACCTGGTCCTGGTTGTTGCAGTCATTAAGGAAGTGAGCAGAGGATAAAAAAATCTGTCTCTTCCTCCATCTCTGTAAATCTGCCTTTCAAGTAAACAAAAGGAATTTTTCTTTAAAAATCCCCACAAAACATTAAATAGATGAGTGAAACATCTATGCTAACATTTCAGCTGTTACAGTCAGTGATCCTAGACGAAAGCAAATTACATAAACTCATCATATTGTTAGAAATACAGAGGACTTCTTGAACGAAATAAGACACAGAGAACTACTATGAAGGAGTTGATCCTTCCTCCGTATTGCTAGTTATTGAATCAGCCACAGCTTTCAAATTCCTTCTGAACAACACACGCTTCATGAGTTTACAAATATCATGAACACAGAATGTCAGGTGGGATTCTCAGCAGCTAGAAAGGAGTTCTTTTGCTGTCCAAGTGTTCGGGGCTTGTGAATTTGAGTCTCAGCTGTCTTCTTGTACCATATACTCTGGGAAATCTCACCCATTCCATGACTTCAGTCATCCCTATGGTGCATACTTTTCTTAGCTCTATTTGAGATTCCCTACTGCTACCAACTGAACCTCTGCACCAGATATTCATGCTGAATTTACTACGCTCCCAAAACTGCTCTTTTTTCTTTTGACCTCAATGAACAGTATTGTCATACTATGCCCAATTGCTTACTGAAACTCAGATTTTTGACTGCTGTATTCCTCCCCCCTTGTTATTCTTGATGTCACTAGGATCACTGCAATCCCTACTCACAAAACTTGTATTCCCTTTCCTTCCATTCCTCACCATCTAGTGTTACAGCAAAATACTAGCTGGGTTTGGTACAGAAGTAATTGATGATAGCTACATACTCTGGCCACACTCATAGTTTACAGGCTAGTGGGGAACACAGACAGTAAAACAAATGTAACAGATGCATGCAACAGATGCCATGATATGGGACAACTAAGATACTTAACCAAAGTACTTAAAAAGTATACTACACAAAGTGTTAAGCTGGAATATTAAGAAAGAAAAAGGGTGCAGGACAGGAGGAGACAGAGGAGTGCTCCAGATGGGGACCAGCATCTGTACAGACTTTTGAGTATTAATATGAGCAAAAGACCTGAGTAGGTCTATCAGAAGTCAAAATCCAAAAGATACCTGAGGAAGAATGAGGCAAAATACAACATTAGAAAGATAGATGGGGCCTAGCTCTGTCAAAACATTGGAAACCATTTAAAGGAGTTTGTACTGTGTCTTAAAATCCCCAAGAAGCCATTGGAGGAGAGGAGAAACAGGAGGAGTTTTTCTGGTTTAGAAAATCACTGTGATGGAGTCATCTGGTGGGGAGCAAAAAGAGAATCTGGAAACTCCTTTGAAAAACTCAAGCAGGATGTAATAGTGACCTAAACCAACCAGGAAAAAGACATGGAAGATTTAAAAGGTACTTAGAAAGAATGACAGGGCTTGGTAATGGAGTAGATGAGGGATTAGGAGATTGAAGAGTCTCATCTCAGAGTGTCTCCACTGAGATAAGTAAGAGAGGGAAGTGAATTTCCTGGGGAGAGAGGGAAGTCTGGTATGAAAAGGGCAGTTTAATTTTGGATATGTTTATTTTGAAGGGCTGGCTTCCCATTCTGCTCCTTCCTCTCCAATGCACTGTCTCTGCCCAAGGATAGTTCATCTTCTTCCCAGCTTCCTGGAAAGGATCACAATTTGGTTTCACATCTCCAGAACCCCACAACAGGCTAACCCACAACTAAGTCCAATGTTTTTGTAAAACAGAGATCTGGTCAGGTCATTTCCTACTTCATTTTAAGAAACTCTGATAGTCCTTCGAGGAAATGCTGAAAGCATAATCTAGAAAAGAAATTTTGTAAATATCCTGGCCATAATGAAATAATTGCAGGTACTTTTTCCTTGTAGTCACAGTTTTCACCAAGAACAGAAAATCCTTAGCATGATGTTTGAATAAATATAAACAGAGTCCTAATTTCCATTGTAAAAAATCAAACATACTCATTTTTATCATTAGGTCACAGAAAATGAAACATGAACCCCCCTACTTAGGTCTTTGTCACTGTCACATACAATCTGTAGATAATAACTAATAGTACGACAACTTGGAGAGAAAAGGAAAAGGAAGTTATATGAAGTGTTCTTCCACAAGGCAGAAACTCTTTCTGGAACCTTCTGCTTTCATTGTACACACAAAGAGAAAGAAACTAACATCAAGGAAGCCCTCTCCTGCATGCAAAAATGTACCTTCTTTTATCAGCACTTGCTGTTCATATCAGACCTACAAGTGGGAGGGAATGTATCAGTTCTGGAGAGAAGCAAGTTCCAGGAAGCTTGTATCTTGTGCACAATGACAATTTCATTCCATCTCACCAGATTTAGATGTACTTTTTATTTCTTCCTACTATAAAACAAAGGTTAGGAGATGCGATATCTGAACTGATTTGCATAATAAGTATATATCTTGATGTCATAAAGACAAAGAGCAATCAGATCAACCTTATAAAATCATCTACAACAGATTTGGAAAAACCCTGCATGGCATCTAGGGTTTATAGGGGTAAACAGTGAGAAAGTAAATCCAGATCTTTCCATCCACAGGGGGAAAACACTTTATTTTGAAAGCTAAAAGACAGAAAACTTCCATCTGTTGCCTCACTTCTCAAATGCCTGTGATAGCCAAGGCTAGATCAAGCCAAACCTAGGAACCTGGAACACTGGCCAGTCTCCCACATGGATGGTAGTAATCCAAATACTTGAGCCATCATTTGCTGCCTTCCTAGAGTAAACACTAGCAAAGATGCATCAGAATAGACCTGGAACTGAGCCAGGCACTCAGACCTGGAATGCACAGGTCCCAAGTGGTACTTCAACCACAGTACCAATCACACATCATAACATAAACTTGGTAATTGAGTGTTTTCCATTGCCAGTGCTTAATTTGCCCTGTGATTTCTGGAACATTGTTACTTTTGGTCTTCCTTCCAGTTTCCTCAGTTCTTTAATAGGTTTCATAAAGCTGGTTGTTTGTGTAATATTTAGATATGTCTGCACAACTGGTGTGATAGCTTAACTGGCTATTACTTTGCCTGCAACTGCCAGCATCCCACGTGTGCACTGGTTCATGTCCTAGACATTCCACTT